GTTTGTCCCTCTGCATTGACTCTGCCAAGCAGAGTTTGGAAGGGCTGTGCTCCCAGCAGGGAGGAGTGTGGACATGGAGGTGAGGAGGCCGCCGCGGGGCTCTCTGCTTTCCGTGTCTGCTCGGCTTTGGGGCTGGGCATTTGCCGATGGTTGGAGGTGGGAGGTGGGAGGGGTCCAGGCACCGGGGAGGATGGGGTGCTCATCTGCTGAACTGGGAGGCTGTTGGGGGAGCAGGTGGGGAAGGTTGGGGCCCAGTGCAGTGTGAGGCGTGAGTCTGGGTTTCAGGGAGGGACCCCTGTGGAAGAGGACAGTTGTCACCATCAGCCTCTAAAGGGTCTGCAAGGCCAGAAGGTGAGGGCTGTCACCCCCGTTTACGAGCCCCTGGAAAAGGGCAGAGGAAACTAGGCAAGGGTTCACAATTCGGTACCTGGTGCCTTTCACAGTTTTCATTTGTATCTGCGTAAGGAATATGAGCACTTAATACAAACTCAACGTCCAAGAAGGTAGAGGGAAAAAAGTAAGTCTTCCCCCTGTCCCGGCCATACAGTCCTGATTCTTCTGACTCTGAAACTGAGTTCTGAGCTCTCTCTCTAGGTACGAGAAGCAGAAGCCTCGACCCCATGACCCTACAACGGTGACCGAGCGGAAGCCCAGAGTCAGGTGCTCATCTGACTGTGCCCCCGGCGCCTCCGAACTTCATAAACTTTACGGTTGTTTTTTTAAAAACCCAGGATGCATTGTGGTCACTTCAATTTTCTTCTTTAACAAGGTATCTTGGAAAAAAACGCGTTTCACCACATTTCAGATGCCGCCCCTTTTATGGCCTCAGAGTTGTTCGGGGCACAGGGAGGGGCTGCCAGTGAAGGAGGGGTGGCTCCCAGCAATGGGCATCGGGGTGCGAGGGCCCCTTCGTGTCCCTGCGTCCGCATCTTTGGGGGAAATACCGTAGTGCGATTGCTGGGTCGTAGGGCAGCTCTCTGGTCAACTTTCTGAGGAAGCTCCGTGCTGTTCTCCAGAGTGGCCGCACCGGCCCGCGTCCCCGCCGACGGCGCGGGAGGGTCCCCCTTTCTCCGCATCCTCGGCAGCGTCTGTCGTTTCCTGACTGGTCAGTTCTGGCCCTTCTGATGGGCGTGAGGCGGGATCTCACTGTGGTTTTGATCTGTATTTCCCTGCTGATGAGTGACGTGGAGCATCTTTTCACAGACCTGTTGGCCGTTTGTACGTCTTCTTTGGAAATTAGTCTGTTCAGGTCCTTTGCACATTTTTGTTTTTATTTTTTAATTTTTATTTATTTAGATTTTATTTATTTGACAGGGACACAGCGAGAGAGGGAACACAAACAGGGGGAGCGGGAGAGGGGGAAAGCAGTCCTCCCCGCTGAGCAGGGAGCCCAATGTGGGGCTCAGTCCCAGGACCCCAGGGATCACGACCCGAGCCGAAGGCAGACGCCTAATGACTGAGCCACGCAGGCACCCCCTTTGCACATTTTTAAATTTGATTATTTATTTCTTCGCTGTTGAGCTGTATGTGTTCCTCGTGGGTTTGGGATATTTGCCCCATCAGAGACACGGTTTGTGGCTGTGTGTGTGTCCTGCTGATGACTTCCTGTGTGGACAGTGGCCTCTGCTGAGCTCTGTAGTCTGGAGTCGTCCCACCTGTTTGTTCTGGTGTCTGCCGCCTGGGCTCTTGGTGTCCCCTGGAGGAAATCATTGCCAAGACAAGCGTCAAGGGTCTTTGTTCCCATGTTTTTTTTTTTTCTGGAAGTTTTATGGCTTTAGGTCTTACATTTAATCTCCGATCCGTTTTGAGGTAATTTTTGTGAGCAGGGACTAGTTTTCATTCTTCTACAGGTGGATGTCCAGTCTTCCCAGCACCACCCATTGAAGAGACGGTCCTTTCCCCTTCGAAGAAATCAGCCGACTGTACGTGTGTGGGTGTACGTCTGGGCTCTCTGTCTAGTCCTCTGGTCTGTGTTTCTGTACGTGTGCCAAGACCGTACTGTTTGGATTTCCACAGCTTTGTCTTATAGCTTGAAACCAGGGAGTGTGATGCCTCCAGATTTGTTCTTTTTTTTCTCAATGTGACCATTTGGGGTCTTTTGTGTTCCAAATAAATTTTAAGATAGTTTTTTTTCTATTTCTATGGAAAATGCCACTGGAATTTTCATTAGGATCACAGGGAATCTGTCGATTGATTTGGGTAGAATGGACGTTTGCACATGAATTTTTCCAATCCGTGAGCACAGAATGTCTTGCCACTTTTGCTTCTGTGTCTTTTTTAGTTTCTTCATCAGAATCTCACGGGCTTCAGCGTACAGATCTTTCACCTCTTTTGTTAAACTTATTCCTAAATATTTTATTATTTTTGATACTATTGTAAGTAGGATCGCTTCTTTATATACTTTTTCAGATAGTTTGTTGTAAGCGTAGAGAAGTGCAGCCAATTCCTGTGTGTTCGTTTTATGTCCTGAAACTTTACTAAGTTCATTCGCGTTCTTACAGGTTTTAGCGGAGTCTTTAGGATTTTTTATATGTAAGATCACGTCACCTGCACTCAGAAGTAGTTCTACTTCTTCCTTTCTGACATGGACACTTTTTATTTCTGTTTCTCCCCTAATTGCTGTGCCTAGGACTTCCAGTGCTACATCAAAGAGGAATGAAGGGAGTGGGCATCTCTGTCTTGTTCCTGATCTCAGAAAAAAAGCTTTTAACTTTTTCCCACTGAGTAGGATGTCAGCTGGGGCTTGTCACATGCGGTGTTTATTATGTGAGGAACATTCCTCCTACATCCAGTTCGTTGGCCGCTTCTATCATGAAAGGATGTTGTATTCGGACAAATTCTTTTTCTGCATCTATTAAGATGATCATATAATTTTTATCCTTCATTCTGTTTTTTAAAAAGATTTATCTATTTGAGAGAGAGAACACGCACACAAGTGGGAGGGGCAGAGGGAAAGGGAGAGAGACTCTCCAGCAGGCTCCGGCTGAGCGCAGAGCCGGACGTGGGGTCCAGTCTCATGACTCTGAGATCACGACCTGAGCCGAAGCCGAGAGCTGGGGGCTGAACCGACCACACCACCCTGGTGACCCTATCCTTCATTCTCCTAATGTGACGTGTTGCTTCTGTCGATCTGTAGATGTCGAACCACCCTTGCACCCCGGAGATAAATCCCACTTGGTCATGCTGGAGCATCCTTTAAATGTACTGTTGAGTTTGGTTTGCTGAGATTTTGGTGAGAATTTTTGCTTCTATATTCATCAGGGCTATGGGCCTTGAATTTTCTTCTTCTTTTTTTAATTTTTATTTTTTTAAAGATTTTATTTATTTGACAGACAGAGATCACAAGCAGGCAGAGAGGCAGGCGGAGAGAGAAAGAGGAGGAAGCAGGCTCCCTGCTGAGCAGAGAGCCCGATGCGGGGCTCGATCCCAGGACCCTGGGATCATGACCCAAGCCGAAGGCAGAGGCTTTAACCCTCTGAGCCACCCAGGCGCCCCTATAATGTTTTTCTTAATGAATTTTAAAATCAGCTAGTCTATCCCCCAATTCTTCTTAGTATTTTTACTGGGATTGTATTAAGTTCCTAGATAAGCTTGGGAAGAATTAATATCTTTATGTGATATTAAGTCTCCTAGGATTCCGTTCCATTGTCGGTGGTGTTCTGTTGTGTCTCTTGGGAACATTTCAGGGTTTTGCTTCTTGGTAAGCTCATCCGTAGGTCTTCTGTTGTTATCGTTTATGGAAGACTTTATTATGTCCTTGAACTTGATGCTTGTGTATCTTGAGGCTCCCAGTATGATTAATAATGGTGCACCCAGCCAGCTTCCTGAATTCGGTGGGACACTTCATTATTGCCCCCCCAACATGGTGCTAGCCCTGCTCTGGGACAGCCGCCTCTCACTGGGAACAGTCTTGGTGTACCAGCTCTCCACGGCTGTGTGAGAAGTTGCCCCAAGACTTGCTGGCCTGAAAGGACGTTGAGCTTGTGTCCTCTTGCAGTTGGAAGCTGGCTGGAGGCTCAGGTGTGGGGGCTCCGGCTACGGCGGAGCCGGTGCTGCAGTCCTCCGGAGGATCCTCTGGCGGGATGACTCGCAGACATTTCAGAGAGCAGGTGCTGGGCTTCGGCAGGGGGCCTCAGTCCTTCCTGGCACGGGGGACTGTGGGCCAGGCTGCTCGTTGCCCTCAGGCCACAGTGGCGGCGTGCCCCACTGTCAGCCTGAGCGGGCTGGGAGGATGCCGTGTCCTCTGGCCCAGTCTCAGCCATCACACTTCTGCTGTGTCTGTTGGCTCTCTTTATTGTTCAAGTGTACAAGGTTAGGAATCTGGGAAGCCAGGATCCTTGGGGTCGCATCAGGGGGCAGTGGGGGGACTGGGTGCTCTGCTAGCTAGCTGACTGCTGGGCCTCAGCCCGTGAGGGCAGGGCCTCAGTTCCCTCAAGGGTGACTGAGGATGGCACCCGTGCAGGAAAGTTGGGGGTCAAATGCAATCAGGCCGCAAGGTGCTCCTGACCCTCCGGCCGTCTGGCATGGGGGAGAGCTCACTGTCCAGGGTTTGGCTATAACCCCAGGGCATCCTCGGTAGGAACCTCCCCAGAGAGGACGGTAGGCAGGTCCCTCCGACCTAGACTGGATGGAATCATTTAGAAAAGCCTCCCCGTGCCCCTCCCCTTCCCAGTCCTCGAGCAGCCCCCCCAGCCCTAGTCCGGACAGGTCGGTGTGCCGTGGAGCCGCTCCACAGCCGAGGGGCGCACAAGCCGGAGCCCCTTCCCCCCTGCGTTGCTGTCCCGCTTGCTCACCGCCGCCGCGGGCTTGGCCCCTTCTGCAAACTGCCCGGCCCGGGCGCCCCGCGGATGTGCGTGCGCGCGGGGCACCTGGGGCCGGGGTGGACCTCAGGGGCCCTGGCCGCCCGCGGCCGAGGGGCGGGGTGGGGGGAGGGGGCGGCGCCGGGGGCGGGGAGGGCGGCGGGGCGGCGGGGCGGGGGGGCGGTGAGGTAATTTCCGCGCTGGGGCGTCAGCGCTCCGAGTCACCCGCGGGCAGAAACGAAAGTGATCGCTCGGCGCGGGGCGGGCGCCGGTGGCGGGGGCGGCTCCGCGCGCAGGGTAAGCGCCGGGCGAGGGGCCGGGGTCTCGGCCGCCCTCCGGGGCGGGCTCCGTGGGAGCCCCCAGGCGCGAGGGAGCGGAGGGGGCGGAGGGGGCGGAGGGGGCGGAGGGGGCGGCCGTGCTCCGCGGGAGGGGCGGGCGGCGGGCGGCGGGGGCTCCCGGAAGCCACCTGCGCGCTCCCCGCCCCCTGCCCGGCCCCCGGGGCAGCGGGGCAGCCGGGTCGCTGCGACCCTGGCCCCGGCCTGGGGAGGGGCCGCGATCTCTGCGCCCCGAGGCCGGAACCCGAGTGTCGTCCCGTTTCGGAGCGTCCCCCGGGCTTGGGCTCTCAGCCCCGTCCCTCTGCAGCCGGACCGGGCTGGGCGTCCCCCCTCCAGGCTGAGGCTGCAACCGCTTCCTCTCAAAACAGCGCTGGTGTCGCGCTCAGAGTTTCCCCGGCCAGTCCCATTCGCACGGGGCTTCCCCACTTCCTGCCCGAGCGCGGTGCCGTCCTGCGGGCCCCCACCGTGCGCGGAGGTCGCGGTCGCGGGAGCCAGCCTGGCCCCGCAGAGCAGGGCTGCCCTGTGTTTGCTCAAGCGGGGGCTGGAGGGCGCGGAGAGGGAGGCTCCCGGGGGAGCCGGGAGAGTCCGTGGGCCCCCAGGGCTCCTGTTGCCAGGGCACCCTTCTTCCCACAGGCTGGCCCAGAGACCCCTCCAGAAGTGGGATGGGTCTTGGTTGGGTCAAGGTCAGTGGGGCCCAGCTCCTTGGAGGAGCAAGCCCCTCTGCCTGTCTGCGGGGTAGAATTCTGCCTGGCCTGGAGGAGAGGCAAGAGTGTGGCTGAGCCCCTGCCTGGGTACCTGTGGGGCTCCTGGCCTCAGGGTCTGACCGTGCTCCTTGCTCCTCCCGCTCCAGACTTCTCATCATGGGCCAACAGCCCCAGAGGACCCAGTGATGCTGTGAGCCTCGGACGGCCCTCCGCAGACCCAGGCCAGGCATGCTGTCCCCAGGGTCTGGTTCGTTACCCACCAGCCCCATGGCCGCCAAGGAGCAGTCTCTGGCCAGGCTGTGTGCGCAGGTGGACCTGCACCTGGGCTGCCCCCGCTGTACTCAGCGCCTGAATGAGAGCACGTACGTGCTGCGCCGGACAGAGCACCACTGTCCGCGAGAGACCCTGCTGGCCCGCTTCAGGCGAGCCAGCAAGAGCCGGGTGTGGCGCAAGGTGGCCCGTCGTCCCAGCTTCCCTCGGCCTGCCCGCTATGACGTCTGCTGGTACTACAGCCCGGGGCTCGGCTGCCGGCGGCACGGCAACCAGTGCACCTTCGCCCGCAGCCGGGAGGAGGCCCTGGTCTGGAACTTTGAGCGCGAGCACAATGTCGGGCGTCTGTGGCTCAAGACTGAGCTGCAGGGCGGGGGTGCCCAGGGGGAGCAGCACAGCCCCGCGGACGCCATCCGCGCGGAGCATGGCGGTCACTTCCAGCTGCTCTGCTCTCACTGCTTCCGGAGCTGTCCTCCGCGCCTCTGCCCCATGGACGCCCAGGGCCACTGCCCCCAGCACGGGGCCTGCCCTTCACTCCTGGCTCACGTGAGCGCCGAGGGCAGCCGCAAGCAGCAGGTAGTGGAGGTGCGGCCGCAGCCCCAGTACGGCCAGCCGCTGGCCTACTGCATGTACGTGGGGCGCGGGCGGCCGTGCCGGCACGGGGCCTCCCGCTGCCAGTATGCACACAGCGCAGTGGAGATGGCCGTGTGGGAGGCCGAGCAGCTGGGGGGGCTCCAGCGGCGGGACCTGCTCTCACCCACTGCCCCCAGAGAGGACGAATGTGCAGCCCCCTGCGGCCAGCCCCGCAGTGTCCGGCTGTACTGCCGTGCCTGCCTGGTCACCTGCCCCTCCCAGGAGGCCTTCGAGAACCACTGCTCATCCCTGGAGCACGCACAGATGGTGGCCTTGGACCCGGCCGAGCTCTGGGAGCACCGCAGCCCACCCACGGGGCTCTCCACGTTTGAGCTCTGCCCCAAGTGAGGACAGTGGGGTGGGGGTGGGGGACAAGCCCCCCTTCAGCCGGGACCAGGGGCTCTCTATCCCCTCTGTGCAATCGGCTGGTCCCCGCCCCGGCCTCCGGAGGGTGGTTGAGGGAGGCGCATGGAGGCCTTCTCTCGTGGGCACAGGATGGAGGGGGGCCCTGTTCCCCCCTGCCCTGCCCCAGGCCTGGAATCGACCCTGCCTCCCGCCACAGGCCAGCACTGGGCTGACAGGGCTGACCCCTGCCCTTCTTGCTGATCTCCCATTTCCCAGACCCGACCTCTGTGAGTACGGGGAGGCCTGCACTAAGGCGCACTCTGAGCCAGAGCTGCAGGAGTGGGTGCAGCGGGCGCAGGGCCTGGAGCTGAGGGAGCAGGCCGCCTGGCAGGAGGGGCTGGTGTCTTACCAGGCCCGGCTGCTGGCTGAGTACCAGCGAAGTCGAAGTGAGGTTCTGGTGGTAAGTGGGGACCAGGCAGGTGGGCAAGGGGTTGCCAGGGCCAGAGCCCCACCGCTGACGGCCTGGCTTCTGTGCAGCTGGCGGAGACTGTTGATGGCGTGTCTGTCACGTGCAACCAGCCCTTGGTGCATCAGGCCCCCGAGAAGAAGATTCAGCACAGCTGGGTATTTGACATCTGCTCTGAGGTAAGGCATCAGCTCGGCCGGGGAGGGGAGGTGGCTGGGCTCCGGTTTGGAGCCGCCTGTGTGGTCTGAAGCAATGCGTGGGTCTCTGGGTCGAGCTGGTGGGAATGTCTGGTTCAGAGAGCGAGGACCAGGCGCGTTAGCTCGTGTGCCCTGGGCGTCCCGTGCTACACCCTCCCCTTGCTCACCCTCCACAGGGGCTGCTCTGGGACCCCATTTGCAGGGAGGAACCCCAAGGTTCAGACAGGCCGAGCGCCCTTCTGGGGTCACAGCCAGGAAGCCCAGCAGTGTGGGGAGGGGCCTGAGTGTCCACCTGGACGGTGATGGGCGGGCAGGGTCTGGGGCCGCCTCCCCATCCAGTCTCTCCCCCAGGAACCCCTGCTGCACGTGGCCCTGCTCAAGCAGGAGCTGGGAGCAGACTTCTCGCTGGTGGCCCCCCGCCTCCCGCTGGGCCAGCTCTATGCAAAGGGGGAGCGTTTCCGAGCAGGTGCCAACCCAGCCAGGTTCCGGGTGGAGGTGCGAGTGCAGGGCGCCTCCTTCGGCTGCTTCGAGCAGTGGGTGGTTTTCGACTTTGGCCGCCGGCCTGCCCTGCTTCAGAAGCTGGGGCTGCTGCTGGGCCAGGTGCGCTGCCCGGGGCCGCAGGGCAGGCTGGCGTGTGGCCACACCGAGGAACTGGAGCGCTGGCACACGGGCAACCGCCACGTGGTGCCTGGTGTGGAGCGGACAGCCGAGCAGGTGGCCCTGGTAGCCAAGTACAAGGTGCCCGCCCTGGCGCTGGACTTCTGTCCCGGGGGCTCCGCCCCAGGCCCCATGTCCTGCGCCGACTACCGCCCGAGGGTGCATCAGTTTCTCTATGAGGAGGAGGCGGCTCAGCAGCGGCTGGTGGCCAGGTGAGTGAGGGCCACTGGGCTGTGGGGCCGCAGAGTCCCGGCCCCTGAGAGCTGACCAGATTCTCCCCGCCAGGCTGAACTTCCGGGGTCCGGTGTCCCTGCGGACAGCCCTGGAGACGCCGGCCCTGGGCATGCTCTTCCCGCCCTCAGGGGCCCTCTATGCTGAGGTCCCCACACCCTCCTCGTGGATGCCGGACACGGACGAGGGCTTTCTGCTGGGCCGGGCGGTCAGCACAGCCCTGGTGGCCCCCGTCCCTGCATGCGACCGCACGGTGTTTGAAGTGCTGCTGGAGACGCGGGCGAGCTCGGAGCAGGCGCTGTGGCTGCTGCTGCCGGCCCGCTGCTGCGTGGCCCTGGGGCTACGGCCCGACACCAGCCCCCTCCTTGAGGTGCAGTTCCAGATCGACCCACTGACCTTCCGCTTCTGGCACCAGGCGGTAGACGCGCTGCCTGACGTGCGACTGGTGGTGCCGGACCTGCCGACGTGCTCCTTGCCCCGGCCTCTGCCCGCGCCCCCCGCGATGCATGGCAACCACAAGCAGAAGCTGGCTGTGGCGCTCATTGCGGGCAGTAGCCCGGGGGGCGTCCGGCCCATTGCCCCCCTGCTCATCTACGGCCCCTTTGGCACAGGCAAGACCTACACGCTGGCCATGGCCTCCCTGGAGGTCATCCGGCAGCCCCACACCAGGGTGCTCATCTGCACGCACACCAACAGGTGAGCCCAGAGCCGCCGCTTGCTTGCTGGGCCGGGGCCAGTGTGCCGCTGGATGCTATGTCCCTGTGAGGAGGAGGGGAGCCGGGCATTCCCAGGGTCCCTGGAGGCCTGGGCAGCCCGCGCTAGAGTGGGTCGCTGCCCTTGCCTGGCCATCGGCAAAGCAGGGTCTAGGCTGGGCCTGGGTCCTCTGGCTGCCCCGTGGACGCTGCAGGGGTAGGGGACAGTGCAGCTCATAGGGCGGTCAGGGTCACTCTGATCCTTGGGACTTTCCCTGGGCTAAAAGAGATGGGACATTTGTGCTTCAGGCCCAGTGCAAGGTGCTCTGGGGCGTCAGGGTCTGCTGTCTGTGGGTGGGGCTGTGGGTGCCTCCACAGAGACCCCAGACCAGACAGAGTTGTTGGGGGGGCGTCTGGCGTGGCCCATTCTGCAGTTCCCAGGGCCAGGCTGTGCTGCTGTCTTCCCTCCGTCTCTCTTAACGGATCCCCTGTGGTTGGTATGATTTTCCTAGCTCTCAGCACTTCCTGCTGCCCAGGCAGGGGTCTCTCCCATGGTGGACCTGGGGATCCCTGGGGTTCTGGGGAGTAGGTCCCTGCAGAGATGCCCGGGGGCTCTCGCATGTCCCCAGGATGCCCTGGCCTCGGCGCTTCTCCATCTGCTCCCGAGAGCTGGTGCTCGTCGCTGTGCACCCACTGACAGCCCCCTGGGAGCTGAGCTCCGGGCCAAGCACAGCCTCTGGCCACCCGGGCTATCTCAGGCAGGGGCCCCCGCGGTTCCCCTCTCTGCCTCTCTGCTCGGCCAGCTCCTTCACCGCCTCCTCCAGGGATCCCTCCCTGACCACCCAGACCCTCTGTGCTGTTCCCGGTTCTCGTCCGATTCTGACCTTATCCTCTGTCCCCTCTGCTGGCGTCAAAGCTGTGTGGGGCGGGTCTGTGTGCCTCTGCTGAATTCCTGGCGTCCAGGCCGGGCTGGGCTCACAGGACACGCTTTGGTGGACCGTGTGCCCTTCCCCTCAGCGCGGCCGACATCTACATCGAGGAGCACTTCCACCGCTACGTGAGCAGCGGCCACCCTGAGGCCACTCCGCTGCGGGTGATGTTCACGGACCGCCCGCCCGGCCAGACCGACGCGGCCACGCTGCGCTACTGCCTCCTGACCGCGGACCGCCGGGCCTTCCGCGCCCCGACACAGGCCGAGCTGGAGCGGCACCGCATTGTGGTGGCCACGGCGTCCCAGGCGCGCGAGCTCAGGGTGCCCAGCGGCTTCTTCTCGCACATCCTCATCGACGAGGCCGCCCAGATGCTGGAGTGCGAGGCGCTCACCCCGCTGCGCTACGCCGGGCCCGGCACACGCCTGGTGCTGGCGGGGGACCACCGGCAGGTCACGCCCAGGCTCTTCAGCGTGCCGGGCGCCCAGGCCGCGGGCCACACCCTGCTCTGCCGCCTCTTCTGGCACTACCAGCGGGAGGCCCACGCCGTGGCGCGGCACAGCCGGCTCATCTTCCACGAGAACTACCGCTGCACCGAGGCCATCCTTCACTTCGTCTCGCGGCACTTCTACCTGGCCGAGGGCAGCCCCATCCACGCCAGCGGCCGGGTCCCTCGCCACCCCACGCACTACCCTCTCATGTTCTGCCACGTGGCGGGCAACCCCGAGCGGGACCTGTCACGCGCGTCCTGGCTGAACGCGGCGGAGATCGCCCAGGTCGTGGAGAAGGTGCAGGAGATCTACCAGAGCTGGCCCTCCTGCTGGGGCAGCCGCGAGCAGAGGCACATCTGTGTCGTGTCCCACGGTGCCCAGGTGAGCCCCTGCCGCCCGCAACAGCCCACCGCCCCACTTCTGGCAGAGACGCCCGGAGGAGGGCGCGGGTCCCTCTGTGGCCGGAGGGGCGACCTCGCCAGCCTCAGTGGCTCCTCCTGAGAGAAGGGCTTTGGGATGAATCTGCCAGGCCACGTGTGGGGTTTGAACCCGCGACTGGGGCCGGGGCTCCGGGCCGTGGGCCTCGGGTCCCCCCTCGGGCTCACTCGCGCCGGCTGCTCTGCTGTGTGTGTCTGCAGGTGGGTGCACTGAGGCAGGAGCTGAGGAAGAGGGACCTGGGCCAGGTGTCTGTGGGCAGCTTTGAGATCCTGCCAGGTGGGTGATGAGTGCGGGGGTGGGGAGGGGCAGGTGCGGAGCGGGGCGGGCTCTCCTCCCCGGCCTGACCACCCCCCTTCGCAGGGCGGGAGTTCCGGGCTGTGGTGCTGAGCACCGTGCACAACCACAGCAGCCTGCAGAGCTCGGGGCCGCCCGCCCTGGGCTTCTTCACCGATGCCCGCGTGCTCAACACCGTCATGACGCGCGCCCAGTCCCAGGTGGTGGCTGTGGGCAATGCCGTGGCCCTCTGCTCCTTCGGGGCCTGTAGCAAGCTCTGGAAGAGCCTCATCCGCGAGTGCGTGAAGCACCACAGCGTCCAGCCCAAGAGCCTGTCCCTGGAGCACATTGAGCAGAGCGCGGTCCAGAGCAGGAGGCAGCGCTGGGCCCTCCAAGCAGAGAGAGCTGTGGCTGCTGTGGCCCAGGACACTGTCCGGGAAGAGGGCACAGCAGGGGCTCTAGCCACAGAGCACGTGGCCACGGACAACGTGGCACCAGGGGCTGAAGGGAGGACATCCCCTTCCAAGACCCGGGCAGCAAGAGACGAAGCCACACAGAGCATAGAGGCTGGGGACGCGGCACTGGGGTCTGTGGCAGGGGGATGCCCAGTGGTGAGGGAGACCGCCCTGGTGCCCCCAGAGGCAGAGGACACGACCTCAGCAGGGAACTCGTTGATGGGGGATGTGGCCCCCGGGAAGGCAGTGGCCGGGCTGCCGGCCACGGAAGATGGGGACCCCGAGGACCTCGAGGACTCTGAGTCGGACTTCTGGCCCTCCGACATGGAGCTCAACGCGGACGACTCCATCCTGCAGGAGCTCCTGGATGAAGCCCGGAACGTGGCGGTGACCGTCCAGGAAGACGGGCTGCTGGACGCCGTCGCCCGGCCCGAGTCCCCACAGCAGGCCTGGCAGTACAGGAGCCTGCCGCGGGCCGCGCTGCGGAAGCTGCTGAACTTGGAGCCTGAGCTGTACCGCCCCTGTGCCTTCGTGCAGGAGACCTTCGAGCGGGCGCTGGCCGTCCCGCTGGATGACGCGGACTGTGGCCCCATCCACATCAGGGGCCGCCTGCACTGTGGGATGGCCTTCAGCGGGGATGAGGTGCTGGTGGAGGTCCTGGGCACAGACAGAGGCCCCTCGGGGAGGCCGCAGGGCCGGGTGGTGGGCGTGCTGAAGAGGAAGCGGCGGGAGCTGGTGTTCGTGTGCCGCACGGACGAGTGGGACCCTCGCATCATGACCCCCATCGACAGCTCCGTGACCAAGATCTTCGTGGCTGAGCTGAAGGACCCACTGCAGGTTCCCGTGCACTGCGTCCAGCAGGGCCGTGTGCGGCGTGTGGGCTACGAGCGGCTCCCTGCCGAGGCCCGCGGCAGCCGGCTCTTCTTGGTGCGTGTTGTCCTGTGGCGGCCCCGCTTCTACTACCCCCTGGGCATCATCCTGGAGGTGCTACCCGAGGCCACCAGCTGGGAGCAGGGCCTGCGCATCCTTGACCTGGAGTACGGCCTGAGGGCACCAGGGCCGGAGCCGGCCTCTGTCAGCAGGGCGCTGCGGAAGTACCGGGCGGAGCTCAGCCGGGGACCCGACCGCCGGGAGGATTGCCGCGGCTTTCTGACCTTCACTGTGGACCCCCAGGGTGCCCGCTACCTAGACGATGCCCTCAGCGTCCGAGATCTGGGCTCCAAGTACGAGGTGGCCGTGCACATCGCCGACGTGGCCAGCGCTGTCCCCAGGGACGGGCCTCTGGACCTGGAGGCCCGCAGAAGGGGTATCACGTTCTATGCCCCTGACCGGGAGCCGCAGCCCATGCTGCCGGCCGGCCTCTGCCAGGACGCGCTCAGCCTCCTGCCGGGCCAGGATCGCTTGGCCGTCTCCCTCTTCCTCATGGTTGAGAAGGGCAGCGACCAGCTCAAGGGCCTGCGCTTCGCGCCCTCTGTGATCCGCTCTGACCGCCAGCTGTCCTACGAGGAGGCCGAGCATGTCATCAGGCGACACCCGGGGGCCGGCGGGGAGTTGCCCAGCCTCTTGGACTCTGTGGACGCCTGTGTCGTGGCCGCCTGCCACTTCTCCCGCGTGCTGCGCCGAGCCCGCCTGGGGACCGACGCGCACTACGAGCAGCCCGGCGAGGACGGCGTGCTGGGCTTCCGCGCGGCCCACGCCATGGTCAAGGAGTACATGGTCCAGTTCAACAGCCTGGCGGCCGAGCTCCTCGTGAGCAGCGAGTGCACGCGGACGGTCACGCCGCTGCGGTGGCAGCCTGCACCCAGTGAGCGCCAGCTCGTGGCGCTGGGGGAGAAGCACGGGGAGCTGGTGCCCCTGTCCCTGCACCTGCACCACCACCTACGGGGCTGTGGGTCCCCCGGCCGACAGGTCTACCTCCTGGCCGCCCTGTGGAGGCACCTGCAGCGTGCCGCCCGCACCGGGGACCGCAATCTGCTGGCGGACCTCATCACCACAGACGACATGCACCCCTCCCTGGCTCCCGTGGGCCTTGACCTCCGCAAGGCCCTGGGCCGCTCTGTGTTTGGCCGCTCCCGCCAGGGCGAGCAGCAGGTGGCGGGGCACTACGCGCTGCGGGTGGACTGGTACACGTGGGCCACCTCGCCCATCCGCAGGTACCTGGATGTGGTACTGCAGCGGCAGATCCTGCTGGCGCTGGGCCACGGGGGTGCCCCCTACTCCGCCAGGGACATCGACGGGCTGTGCCAGGAATTCAGCCACCAGCACGCGCGCGCCCAGGCCTATCAGCGCCAGGCCCGAAGCCTGCATCTGGCAGCGCAGCTCAGGGTCCAGCCCCGGGGCAAGCTGGGCATCGTGGCAGGCGTGGAGACGGGCGCCCGCGGCTTCAAGCTGCTCTTCCCCACCAACCCCGAGACCCTGCCTGACCCCTGCCCTGTGCAGTACCGCGCCCTGCAGCTGGCCGAGCACCCCAAGGACCTGGCCGGGCGGCCAGGCCTGCGGCTGGAATGGCGGCGCCGCATCTACTCGGTGCAGGCGGAAGGGCCGTGCTCCCCGCGGCCCGGTGCCCTGCTGGACCCCCACACCCGGCGGGTGGACGCCGCCCCGTGGGAGCAGCTGCTGGAGCTAGTTCAGGCGGAGCTGTGGCCTGAGGCGGCGGCCCTGGTGCGGGAGCTGGGCACGGCGGAGCCCCCGCCCCGGGAGCTGGGCCGCGTGAGGCACAGCCGCTGTGGCCACTTCGTGGAGGTGTCCCGGGAGCTGGGCAGCGGGGACGTGCTGCAGGTGCAGCTCAGCGCCGGCCTGCAGCGGGGCTTCCTGGTGCCAAGCCTGCAGCTGTGCACTGTGGCGCCGGGCCTCACCCTCTGCCTGCAGCACGTGGAGCGGCCCAGCGACTGCTTTCTGGACCAGGCACCCCGGGCGGCGCAGGACCGGTGTCTCGATGAGGGCGAGTACGCCCGCGTGTGGGGGCCCTTCTGCTCTCTGGAGTCGGCCACAGGCGCCGTCTCAGAGGGCGACTCCATCACGCTGCAGCAGGTCAGCGTGTCCTGGGACACAAAGCAGGTGGCGCAGGGGCAGCTGCGTGGCTCCTTCTGCCTGGAGCCGTCCTTCCTCAGCGAGCACGGCATTGACCTCAGCTTCGGCCACTGCTACCTCTGCATCCGGCTCGAGGGGCTGCCGGCCATGCCCATTGCAGGGGGGCCGCACCCCCCAGCTGGCCCTGGCCAGCCTCCCCTCCTGAGCATTGACCCTGACACGTACACTTGGGTGGCCCACGGGCTGACAGAACGCTGGGGCCCGGAGGAGGGCCAGGCCGACCGGCAGGAGGCCTCCGGGCAGGTGTACTTCGTCGTGCAGCACATGCCCGTGGAGAAAGTCCCGGAAGAGGTGCTCAGACGGGGCACGCGGTTCACTATTGAGGTGCTGCCCAAGCAGCTTCCTGACGTGTGAGTAGTTTCCACGGGGAGAAGCTGGGGGAAAGCGGGACGGGTGGGGCAAGAGCTCCCTGCGTCCCCTCCGGGGGGTCCTGTGGATGTCCCTGGGTCCCTCCTCACTGCCACCTGCCCCCAGTCGCAAGGAAGAAGCTGTGAGTAGGCTGGACCGCGCGTCCCCGCTGGTCGTCAGCATTGCCCTGGGCCGGCCCATCCCTCCGCCCTGCCGCCTTGCTCCCGAGCAGACCCCCCACAGAGGTAGGTCCTGGGACCCTCCAGCTCTTCCATGCCCCTTCGTGCTGCCTGGGTCCTGCCCTGCGCCCCTGCTCAGGCAGGCCTGACCCTTCCTTAGGGACGTACAACAGGCTCCTGGAGAAACGCGTGTTCGACCTCCCCGGAGGCTGCCACACACTGAACTCCAGCCAGAACCGGGCTGTCAGGGCGGCCCTGCAGAAGCCGTTCACAGTGATCCAGGGCCCGCCAGGTGGGGCCCGTGCTGCGGGGCTGGGGCCTCCGGCTGCTGCGCTGGCCACCAGGGGCTCTGTTCATGACGCTCTCTGCCCGCAGGCACCGGGAAGACGGTTGTGGGTTTCCACATCGTGTTCTGGTTTCACAAGGCAAATGAGGAGCAGGTGATGGCCTGGGGCGCCCCCAGGGAGGAGGAGCTGCTGGGGGGCCCGTGCGTCTTGTATTGCGGTCCCTCAAACAAGTCAGTGGACGTCCTGGCAGGTGCGCTGGGCCGGTTGTGTGGGGGCTTTCCCTGACGGTGCTGGCCCCGGGGGACGGTGACTCACGCCCTGTTGCCGCCAGGACTGCTGCTGTGTAGGAGAGCAGAGCTGAAGCCGCTAAGGGTGTACAGCGAGCAGGCCGAGGCCACTGAATTCCCGGTGCCCAGTGTGGGCAGCAGCGGCCCGCCCAGGAAGACCCCTCGGGAGGGGAGGCCCAACCAGAGCCTCAGGTGCGGTCTCTTGGCAGTCTGTGGGTGCAGGACCCCCACAGTCCTGTCGGGGCGAGGACTAACACAGGGCTTCACGGCTGTCCCTCCCACCCCAGGAGCATCACCCTACACCACAGGGTCCGGCAGGCCTCCAACCCCTACGCGGCGGACATCAGGGGGTTCGACACTCGGGTGCAGAAAGGGGAGGTCTTTTCCAAGGAAGACCTCAACCGGTAAGCCGCTGGGGCCGTGCCGTTGTCTCCACGGTGGAGATGTGTGTGGGAGGTTCCCTGTGTGACCGAGGGCTGTCCCCACACAGGTACAAGCAGGTGCTGGGGAAGGCACGGAAGTTCGAGCTGGAGCGGCACCGGGTCGTCTTGTGTACGTGCTCGTGTGCGGCCTCAGCTGGCCTCAGGAGGCTGGCTGTGCGGCAGGTCCTCATTGACGAAGCAGGCATGGCCACGGAGCCCGAGACCCTCATCCCGCTGGTGGCCTTCTCAGGGGTGGAGAAGGTGAGGGAGCTGGGTGCTGAGCTGGGAGCCCCAGGTGGGTGACGGTGGGTGTGGCCTTTCGCCCCGGAGGACAGCCTCCTGGTGGTGGAGTGGCCACGCTGGTACCTCGAGGTCTGCAGGTGTCGGGACTGTGGCTGCCTGTGTCTGCAGGTGGTTCTTCTGGGGGACCACAAGCAACTGCGGCCTGTGGTCAGGAGTGAGCAGCTGCAGAATCTGGGGCTGGACCGGTCTCTCTTCGAGAGGTATCACGCGGATGCTTACCTGCTAGACACACAGTACCGCATGGTAAGCCGGTCCAAGCCTCGCCGTCTCTGGCCGCAGTGTGGTCTGAGGCCAGGGATGCCCAAGGGGTGGCTGCCCACACCTCGACCTCCTGTGTCCACCCTGGCCTCCAAGACCCCCAGCTCTTGGCCCCGGGACAGCTGGACGGGTGACCAGGCTCGCGCCCTGCCTTGCAGCACGCGGACATCTGTGCCTTCCCCTCTACGGAGTTCTACAAGAAGAAGCTGAAGACCTGGCCGGGCCTGAAGCGGCCCCCCAGCGTCCTGGGCCACGCTGGAAAGGAGAGCTGCGCTGTCATCTTTGGCCATGTGCAGGGCCATGAGCAGAGCCTACTGGTGTCCACAGATGAAGGGAATGAAAACTCCAAGGCCAACCCAGAGGAGGTGGCCGAGGTGGTGAGTGTCAGTGAGACTTTCCCTGGTGTACCTTGGTCAGGGAGGCCTTCCTGGAGGAGGAGGCAGAGAGACTGAGGGAACAGGTGAGGTTCGGTGTCCAGGGCAGGAGAGGTGCCAGGGCCTGCTCCAGCAGCACCCCCTTGGTCCCTCAGGTCCGCATTGCTAAGCAGCTGACCCTGGGCAGGACCGTGGACTCCAAGGACGTTGCCATTCTCACGCCCTACAACGCTCAGGCTGCGGAGATCGGCAAGAGGCTTGGGCAAGAGGGTGTCACTGGAGTGAGCGTGTGCTCCATCACCAAGAGCCAGGGTGAGCGCAGCTCCGGGGCAGGGGCCTCGCGGGCCAGCGGGTGGGTGTGGGACCTGGGAGGGGCCTCATCACGTGCGCCCGACTGCGCAGGAAGCGAGTGGCGCTACGTGCTGGTGAGCACCGTGCGTACGTGCCCCGAGAGTGACCTGGACCAGCGGCCGACGAAGAGCTGGCTGAAGAGGTTCCTGGGCTTTGTGGTGGACCCCAATCAAGTGAACGTGGCCATCACCCGGGCCAGAGAGGGTCTCTGCTTCATTGGTAGGACTGCTTGGCGGCTCGGCTGGGGGCGGGGCGGGCTGGGGCGGGGCTTCTCCTGGGGGTGTGGCTGCATGCTGGGGGGCGGGGCGGGGCTTTTCCCGGGGGATGTGGCAGAACGGCTGGGGGCAGGAGGGCCAGGGCGGGGCAGGGAGGGCCTGGGCGGGGCTGGGGTCCACCACAGACCCCCGCCCCTCAACCTGCACAGGGGACCACCGCCTCCTGCGTTGTTGCCCTCTCTGGCGGAGATTCCTGGACTTCTGCGAGGACCAGCAGAGCCTCGTGCCCGCCAGCCAGGTGCGCGTTCGGAGGAGGCCTGCCCTGTCTCCCTGAAGAGCCCACTCTGCCTGCCCACTGCCCTCGGGCTGCCAGGACTTCGAGGCAAAGTCCCCACCCCGATTCTGCAGCCTGCCTTGTCAGGCCGCACTCAGCAGAATCCCACAGTGCCTTCGGTTAGGGTTAGGTACTGCCGGCCGCCCCGCCGCCCCGATTAGGTCTGCGCTGGGATTCTGAGCAATAATCCTATTCTGGAGCCTCGGCCTCTCCGGGGACAGGGGGGCAGGCCAGGCCCTGCCCTGCCAGCAAGTGCCTACGCTTAGGAGAGAGGGACTCCCCAGTCTCCCTGCTGTGCTGCCTTTGTTGGGACATTTTGCAGGGAACATCTCAGGGGTGTGGGATGGGGGGAGGTCCTCTGGACCTTCTGGTGTTGCTGGGGAGGTTTGGGGTGGGGAAGGAAATCCTCGCAGGTTTACTCTTTGGTCTTTGGATGCCATCCCTGACCACGCTGGGTGCTGGCTGTGGGGCTCAGCCTTCTTTCTTTCTTTCCTTTTTTCTTTTTTTACAAGTAGGCTCCCTGCGCAGTGTGTGCTTGAACTCATGGCCCTGAGATTAAGAGCTGCATGTTCTACCAAGTAAGCCAGCCAGGCCCCCTGGTTTTCTAATAAACCAGACGCCAGTGTCTTTTTTTACTGGAACAGGTTCCTTATCCCAGACTTAGACGAAGAGGCCTCCCTGGAACAGAGGGCCTTTTTTCTGTCCCCACTACCCTGTTTTACTGGGGCCCACAGCCCCGTGTCCTTCAGGGGCCACCTGCCCTTGCAGGCGGAAGGGCAGACCAGAACCAGATGCACACACAACCTTGCCCGGACCATGGGTATGTGGGTGGGGACCGAGACTGAGGTGCCCCTGGATGGGCAGCCTTGTGCCTTCAGCCTGAGCTCTGCCTCCCCTTTGCAAACTCAAGCCTGCTCCCAGGTCAGGGCTTCTGGGACAGCCTGTCCTCTGTGTCTGTCTTTGCAAATCTGAGGAACTCCCCTTGTCCCTCAGGGTACATTTCTGTTCTGCCTGGTCTGGAAACTCTTGCCTTGGTATCTGCCCTCCCCTCAGCAAACCCTCACCCCCCACTGCAAGGCAGCTCTGACCCAGAGTCTCTGCACATCCTCGTCCTGTGGCCTGGGGGATGTGGCAGACAAGCTGCTTACACTAGGAGGGGCTTGCCCCCGCACCCCCCCTTCCGTGGCCTTGCTGCAGAAATTTCTGCCAGCGGTGGGGCAGGGTGGGGGGCAGGGGCGGGTGGGGAGTGATGTTCTGATGTTTTCTACAAATCAATTTCTACATTCCAATTTTTATATCTTTTCTTGGACTCTGTGTTATATGATTCAATACTAATTGTATTATAAAGACTACTCTGGATGTATTTCTCACATCTGGGTGTTTGAGGTTTTATTGGGGGCACCTCCTCTTGTTTTGGGTTGTAAGGTAGCTCCTGAGTCTGCCAGGAATCCAGAGCCCATTCTAGCCAGGTGCTGGACAAGCAAGCGCTCTGGGAGAGGCTGTTGTCCCTGTGTCACAGCTGACAGCACGGCCAGCGGGCTGAGCAGGGTCTGCGGCTGGACAGCGGAAGCTGGCTGGGGGCTGACTGGGCAAAGATGGGCGACAGGGACGGGCTGGGCCCTGGAGATGCAGGCATGCCCAGCCTCCTGAACGCTGACCCCAGGCTGAGTCCAAGGTTCCCGAGGCGGCCAGCCCTGCCAGCGTCCAGCGCGGCCCAGGGTCTGAGTGATCCCCGAGGACACTTGCACGCTGCATGCTTCCTCTAAGCCAACTCCAGCTGTTCCTTGTTTGGTCTGTTGCTCAGTGCCCAAGGCCTCCAACAGCACCGGCTGTGCAGAGGAAGGCGTGTCTGGGCCTGGCTTCCCTGGGGGCCTGCACGGGTATCAGACCAGTGTGGAGGTCACACAGTGAAAGAGTCAAAGGCCTTCTCCAAGGCCACTGTGCTCCCTGTGAGACTGCTGAGGGAGCCAGACAGGCCCCGCCTTCTAGGCCAACCACACAGGCATGGAGTTTTACCATCTGGTCAAAAACATTGGAAAGGAGGACCAACAGGCGTCCGGAGGCAGGAAGTCAGGACCTCTTCCGCCTGGAATCAGGGAGGGCTTCTTGGAGGAGCAGGCGTTGAAGCCCCGAGCACGCCCGCGCGTGCTCGCGGACTGCCGGGGAAGCTGGGCGGTCAAGCCCAGGCGCGCAGCGGCGGCGTGAGGCGGGGCCGAAGGCAGAGGGCGGGCCTCGTCTCAGAGGGGCTCAAGGTTTCAAGTCAGGCACGTTCTCCTGCAAGGCAGCGAACCAGACGGAGCTCCGCACAGAGGAAAAGCGCTTGGCCTTCTGCGCGGGCGAGGTTCAAAGACGCGAGCGCGCCAGGCCTGCTGCTGCGGGGCCCTCACAGCGGGGCCTCCCGCGGGGCTGGCCTCTGGGCAGCTGCCGTCCCTGGTGACGGCTGGAGGCGCGGGGACCCGGGAGGACCCTCAGTCGCCTTACCCACAAACGCCTCCCTCCACCAACCCTGACTCCAACCTGCCCCCTTCTTGCTGGGATTGGTATGACCTGGCACAAAGCCCCATCCCTGGTCCCTGCCCAGCTTTGCTTCTCTCCCTGCCCGCCCACCCCCTGCGCCAACCCTCTCTACTGCGCTGGGGGGGTGGGGGGCGGCTCAGGAGGAGCACCAGGCTCTGCTCTCGACTCCTCCCCCTGCCATCCCCCCTCCCCAGGATGCCTTGGGGTGACTGGACCCTGAGGAACACCAGGAGTGCCTGCACCATAGCCACACGATGCCACAATGTGTGACAGGCTGGCTTGACCCGGAGTGGTGTGCAGTAACACAGAGTGGGTCAGGAACTGGAGAGGCCTGGGAGGACCCCACCCACCTCTCAAGAGCTGGGGGCGGGGACGAGTCCTGGGGACAGCTGGGCACCTGCTCTCTCTCCAAACCACCCCTCTGCCGGTGGGGGAGGCAGTCCCTGTTCCTGGTCATCTTGCCTGCCCAGGCCTTTGGCTCTCAGGTGGACAAGGGTGTGGAGGAGGGGTCAGCGTACTGGCAGCTCCCCTGGGCCACGGCACACAGTGCTGTCCCTCCTGGACCTGGACACAGCCCAGCTGCAGCAGCAGACAGATGCCGATCTTCGCCTCACCTGTGTCAGGACCTGGACGTGAGCGTGGGGAATGAGGGAACTGCTGGTATACTGGTGGTGGCATGGCCTTGCCCGGGGCAAGGACAGCCTCTGGAGGCAGCAGTGAGGGGCTGGTCCCCTTCTGGGGGCTGGGCGTGGCGGCTGGTGGGGAGGGCCACCCCACAAGAGCTGGGCACCAGCCTGCATCCCGGGGAGGCCCTCTGCCGGACTCCCTTGCCTCGGGCCCTAACCCACCTTGGGAGAGGAGCACAGATGTGGTTCAGCTCCTTTTTGGGAGAAGACTTTGTCATTTAAAAGACAAAACGTCCTCTTGGTCTGGGCACCCACGACCCTGACTCCAGTGATGCTGGGAGCCACAGGATGGAGCACGACTGCCCCCAATGAGGTTATTGTTCCCCTTGGGGAACCCTGGCCTGGGACACAGGGCAAGGTAGCCAGGGACAGTGCCAAGGCCGCAGGGCTGCTTACTGTGCCAGAGAGGGAGCGGGGAGATGCGGGAGGGGCAGACACAGCAGGGCCCCTTGGAGAAGCTCTCAGGCTGCTCATCTCGCTCCAGGGGCAGCTATCCTGGAAGGTGCAGCCTGGGGTGCCCCCTGGCGAAGGGAGCAGGAGCCTGGGGGGCCTGGGGCTGGGGGTTGGGCTGGACAGCATCTGAGCAACACTCCCATGGCGGCTGCTGCCTGTCAAACGTAAGGTTTGTTTCTTTAGTTGTGTGTGTGTGTTTATAGTCTTTATTAGTGGATAAATATTAGAAAATCATCTCTCAGAAAGTGCGGTCAGGGGCAAGCCTGGCTTGCCTAGCCGACTAGGGCTGGGCCCTTCTGGGGGCCCCGGCCTGGTCTGCAGGGTGAGGCTGTCCCGCCACGGCTCGTACACCAGCGTGTAGCTCTCTGCTCTCTTGACCGTGAACCTGTAGGAGCGGTTGGGCAGCAGGTTGTGGATGTCGAAGGCACAGGCCGCCACGGGGATGGTGCCGCACTGCGTGGACTCCTGCTGCGTCCGCGGGTCCAGCAGCTTGAAGCGCAACTCAAACTGCTCGGGGGCCGCCGGCTGGATGGTGACAAACCAGCGCAGGCTGGCCCAGTCCCGGTGGGCCACCGACCCCTTGCGGTCGAACATGACGGGCATCTTGGTGCTCAGCATCAGCCGGATGTGCGGGATCTTGGTGGCGCCGATGTCGGACACCAGGCGGTGCTTCATGTGCAGGCGCCCAGGCACCATCATGGCCAGGAAGCTGTCCATGACGGCCGACAGCTCCGCCAGCCTCTGCGCCACCAGCCCCCAGCCCGCCAGGAAGGGTCTCGGGTCGGGCGACTCCAGAAGGGCGCCCAGCTCGGCGCGGCCCCGGTCCAGCTGCTCCAGCAGGTCCCCGAGCAGCAGGAGCTGGATCTTGGTCTGGGCGGTGCCCACCTTCTTCATGCGCTGGAACTTCCAGGGGTCGATGAGCTGGAGCATGGTGCTGGGCAGCACCAGGGGGTTCTGGTCGCCCAGGGCCAGGTGCTTGGGGAGGATCTCGATGTGGAAGGAGCACTTCTGGAGCAGCTCCATGCGCCCATGGTGGCGCCTGAGCAGGTGCGGGCTCAGGTCCGCGGTCAGGAACTCGCGCAGCGCGGTGCGGCGCTCCATGTAGGCCCGCCACGCCTCCGGCTCCAGCAGCTGCCGGTCCTCCGCCTCCTCGGCCTCCTCCTGGTCCAGGGAGGACTGTGCACTGTCCGGCTTCATCTTGCCCAGGCCCGGGCCCGGCACCCGGAAGCTCATGTCTGGGAGCAGGGGGTGGAGGGGGGTGGTGTGAGCGGATGCGGCCCACGGGGCTCTGCCAACCCCCCCCCGGCTTACTCAGTCACAGCGCGGGTGTGCGCAGGCAGGTGTGGCTTCAGGCCCACTGCCGTCCATACTGGGCCCTCTGTCCCTCCGCGGGGGAAGAGCTCATGGGGAGAGCATGTCTCTCTGGGAAGAGGCTGCCGGGGGGCCAAGAGGGCCAGTGGCCGACCCAGATAGATGTGGACGCTGAGGGGCAG